GGGGCGGCGCTCGTTAATTACTGAGGGGCAATAAATAATTAACGGGGAGGGGGCGGGGCCTCCCTGAGGGCCGAGTGGGCGTGGCCAAGGCGAGGGGGGCGTGGCCGTGGGAAATGGGCGTGGCCAGGGGAGGGGTGGGCGTGGTCAGGGCGGGAAAATGGGCGTGGCCAGGTGGGGAATGGGCGTGGCCACAAGGTGGGCGTGGCCACAGCCAGAATAATGAAGTGGGCGTGGTCATGGGTAGGGAAATGGGCGTGGCCAGGTGGGGAATGGGCGTGGCCGCAAGGTGGGCGTGGCTACAGCCAGAATAATGAAGTGGGCGTGGTCATGGGTAGGGAAATGGGCGTGGCCAGGTGGGGAATGGGCGTGGCCGCAAGGTGGGCGTGGCCACAGCCAGAATAATGAAGTGGGCGTGGTTATGGGTAGGAAAATGGGCGTGGTCAGGTGAGGTGGGCGGGGTCCAGGTGAGGTGGGCGTGGTCCTGGTGTGACCAGGTGTCATGGGCACGTCCAGGTGGGCGTGTCCAGGTTGGGTGGGCGTGTCCAGGTGAGTGGTGGGCGTGTCCTGGTTCAAAAGGGGCGTGTCCAGGTGAGTGGTGGGCATGTCCAGGTGAGTGGTGGGCGTGTCCAGGTGGGCGTGTCCAGGTGAGTGATGGGAGTGTCCAGGTGAGTGTCCAGGTGGGCGTGTCCAGGTGAGTGTCCAGGTGGGCGTGTCCAGGTGCGGTGGGCGTGTCCAGACTCACAATGGGCGTGTCCAGGTGGGCGTGTCCAGGTGCGTGTCCTGGTGGGCGTGTCCAGGTGGGCGGTGGGCGTGTCCAGGCTCACAATGGGAGTGTCCAGGTGAGCGTGTCCAGGTGGGCGTGTCCAGGTGAGTGATGGGAGTGTCCAGGTGAGTGTCCAGGTGAGCGTGTCCAGGTGGGCGTGTCCAGGTGAGCGTGTCCAGGTGCGGTGGGTGTGTCCAAGTGAGCGTGTCCAGGTGAGTGTCCAGGTGGGCGTGTCCAAGTGAGCATGTCCAGGTGAGTGTCCAGGTGGGCGTGTCCAGGTGGGTGTGTCCAGGTGGCCGTGTCCAGGTGAGTGTCCAGGTGAGTGTCCAGGTGAGTGTCCAGGTGGGCGTGTCCAGGTGGGCGTGTCCAGGTGAGTGTCCAGGTGGGCGTGTCCAGGTGCGGTGGGCGTGTCCAGGTGAGTGATGGGAGTGTCCAGGTGGGCGTGTCCAGGTG